AACTGGCAAATGGTCAACTGCGAGCAACAGATTTATTACCTGACATAATTAATTGTCTAGATAGTGACATTTCCCATATTATAGACAATTGTGAATTATGAGCCCAGCTGCTAGCCTTCTCATTCACTGAAATCGGTTGATAAATATGTTTATTTGAGGTCAGCTTGGCCTCATCCATTAGAAATATTGTTTTTCTAAACATTACATTGATTTAATTTAACTCTAATCAATTTAAAATGGTTCTGACAATTAACAAAAGCTTCAAATATGACCTTAAAGTAATAGGATTCATTAGCTATGTTTAGGATTAAACTTATCCTAATAGGGCTATTTTTCTTCTGAGGGCAGGTAGTAGGCCGATTGGTGGTCAGTCAAAATGAAATCAATTATTATAAATTATACAGTTTGGGTTGATTCTGTCATGCCTGCTAATTTGTATAAATAAGGACCTCGCACAATAGAAGCCATTTATTAATAACTATCTGTATCCCAACCTGTATCACACTTTATGTTACAGCTGCAGGATCATCTGTTACCCGTGAAGTATTATATTCTCTACTGCTAGGCATATATGCTAATTAAACCCATAATTAATTGTAACAGTTATAGTTAAAGTCAAAATGCTGACAGCCTTTTTGGCGTATTATTCATGGTAATCAACTGATTCAAAAGGCAACGTAATCAACAATTCCTGCACTAGCCAGGGGATCATAATACCATGACAGCTGGCACCCACAGGTCTTTGGATACAAAAGGAAATATAAGCCTCTAGAAGTGAAATGCTTCAGTACGAGCAGGGCCTATTGTTTTTCTGAGACAAGATACAAACATAAGCTGTATTTAACAACTGAATCCTTGATGCAGCGGTTAATAGAAATGCACAAGAGCCATGCTCCAGAGAGCACGCACTGCCTTGTTGGGTCAGGGGCAGAACTGAGGGTGCACACAGGGTCTGGTTTTACCCTCTTACTGATCCTTTCTACCTCCACATGCTGCAGCAAGCTGTCTCAAATTAACAGTGGGAATTCTAGAGAAGGCTTTGAATACCATCAAGAATGAGTTTTATTTGTGCAGTTCTCATTGAACACTGGAAATTTGACAGTGCCCAAAAGGCACATCCTCTCTCTGGGTATGTTGTCTGCAGAAGGAGAGCATTAGGCAGTGCAGGGAATGTCACATTTTTCAACAGGTATCTGGCTGTATGTCAGCCTTTGAACCTACGAGAAATTCCCTTTACTTTGTTCCCAGAGTAGTGAATTCCATTCCCACAGCAGCCATGGGAGGACCAAGGTGAGGAGAGGAAGGAGAAAGGGAATCTGTCAGCAGCAGTGTCCCCAAACACTCTAATAAGTCTTCTCTGAAGTGAGGGCACGTATTTGGGTGCCTCTGGAGTAATGAGAACTCTTGAGTAGGCCACCAGCAGTGCAGGAGGCCGTAAAAGTTAGCAGCCACTTTTGGCAATCACACCTTGGGACTGAAGCGCAGGGCCAGGAGAGCCTTTGAACCCACTGCATCCACCAGATCAGTGCTTGAAGCCCTTGTTGCTTTCCATCTCAATTTAAAGGCAGTCTTGCTATCTATCATTGCACGTGGCCTCAGATCACATCTATTTTACAGTCCTTCTTTGTGTAGTCGAGCATGCCCATGGCCCCAGCACCACGGAGCCAATGAGTTTATACGAGTTTATACACAGCTTCAGATGTGCTCCTTCTAAAACTAGGTTAGCCATAGTTTCATTACTAAGATTTACACTGTCAGTTACAGGGATGCCCATCCAATCCTATAACACACAAATTTATGGCCATCACAAAGAAATTTGTATTGTTAGGGCTCATATACAATGTGTGACATTTGTGACACATTTTTTAATAAAACATATTGTACTTGTGATTTCTAATGCTTAAAATAAAATAAAATAATAATCAACTTTTAGCTGCAGTTTCCCCCTGGTTATTGAGCTGAACTTAATGACTGGCTGAAAAGTATTTGTCAACACAACAGCTGGAGAGCAACACTTTCTTGTAGCTTTATGTCACAGCATATGCCAGCCACTCAGAACATGTGATAATTCAACTGGAGCTGGTACTACAATAGCAGATGGGTTGAAGCATTGTTATTCTCACTCTAGCTCCCAGCCCTTGAGGGATCACTAAATAAAATCAAAGCAGATGGACCATTACAAGCTCATTTGTGTTCACTACAAGCACCTCAACCTCCAGTTGTGATATACTGCACCTTTGTATAAAATGACATGTATGGTAACATGACCTAATGAAAATAGCATCAGACTTGGCAAGTGAGGAATGAGGCTGGGAAATATGCACAGATCTATTTATCACTGAGTTCTTACCTTGAATAAAAGGTTCATTTTTCCCTTCCTCCCTCCATGTTTATCATTTTATTTCTGCCTATGTTTATCATGTGATTTCCCCACACTTGTAAGAACTGAGAGGCGACCATTGGTTCAGGCTATAGAAGGTCTGGCACGTTTCCTGTCCTCTGCCAAGTGTGGATGCTGCTAACTACAGTGCAAAACTTGCTGTTATTTCTGCACACTGCTGACAGGGGTGTTCAATGAGGTGTCCCGCAGGTAGAAACGCTTCCACCACCCTCATCCCAATATCTGCAGCCACACAGATGTGTGAAGACGGATGGACACAGTTATTGATGATTCCCAAACTGAAATCCTCTCAAATTTGAGTTTTTCATATCATCTGCTTGCATTATAATTTTGTATTATTTTTCTCTGACTGTTTTTAATCAGCTTCTGCATACTGCTCTAGAGATGGGTGTGTTCAACACTAAGGAACATATACAATGAACTCATTACAGGCTTTGGGATTTCTTTCTTATCTGTGTAAATAGGTAAAGCGGAGGCAGCCAGTGAAGTGCTGGGGGAGAGCGAGATGCTTTCATGTTTGCCTGGATAAAAGACCAGATTGTAGGGAATATCAGAAGTGTTATATCTTCAGTAAAAGTTCTGCAGGTAAACTGGCTGCGTAGGACCTCATCACAGCTGCTGCTGCTGTGTGCTAAGGGCCCAGACAGGTGCAGCAATGGAAAGCAAGACAATTGCTTCAATAGCAACCCTATTGAATACCTTTGAAGTTCCGTGGCTGCAATACGTGATTAGAAGAAAGAAACTTGTCCAGCTTCCTTTTTGAACCTGTTGCTTAAGTGCCATGAATGGGTCAGCTAACAGATCTCCCCTTAGCCTGAACCCTCTGGCAGCCTGCAGGACGCTGCTCCCAGGTTGTGTGCTGCATGCATGCCCTGCCACATCCCTGGCCTGCTCGTTGCTCTTCTTGAGCACCTTCTGTTGTGCAGCAGCTCATCCTCATAGGTAAAGCTGCCTGACTCCATCAGAAGCATTTGCAGGCCCGGTCATATGTCAGCACTGCATCTTATCAGCCGGCCAGCTTTCCTATCAGCCCAACTGATTTGCTGAGATAGTTCTGTTTCCTGCCATCAGTTATAATAAATCAACCACTGTAGCTTCACTGAAATCTCTGCTAACCGAGGAGCTGCCCTTGAAATTCTCAGACTATATGCAAGGATGGGGAAAAGCCTTAATTTTCTAAGTATAAAAAAGTTTGAAATAAGCAACTTGACATTCTGGGTAATGCTGCATCTTTTCACTCCGGTGTTAATGGCTCATTCTTGCCAGAGTCAGCTCAGGCTGGGACAGGAGCAGTAAAGGCATCAGTCACTCCTCTGAAAATAAATTTCTGAATAATGTGATCTTGTATGGGGGAGTGTGTGTGGGAGGGTAAACACAGGCATGGGGGGAAAGGAGGGAGAGAGAGCACTTGGAGGAAAGAGAAGGACTAAAATGGCATTTCCCACTGTTGTGGCTATTGAAGTAAGGAATGAGGATTTTTCATACCAGAAGGTAACCCTCTGGCTGTAATTGTGAATAGGAGTTGGACTCAATGATCCTTATGGATCCCTTCCAACTTAGGTTATTATATGACCACCATAGATAGACCTGGAATGAAGGACACGGAGCATCCCAGAACATGCCAACTAAAACAGCCAGAACTCTGGGACAAAAAAAAAAGGTTTAAGAGCGTTCTGTTTTTTCCTTGCGGCAGTACCAAGCTACTGAGCACATACTAATAATGCTATAATCGATAGCCATAAACTTAGAAGACTACTACTGATAGGTAGTGTACACTCTGTGTTGTTTCATTCAGCTTTGCTGTTGAATGCTGATGTTTTTCTTATTTCAAAAAGGGATTTCTGTTCTTTGTGGAATTTCAGAATTTCTCTCTTTTCTTTTGGCTTCTTCCTGAAGAACAGCACTGGTTTGGGAACAGCTTTGCTGGGATAAAACTCAGTTGCACTGCACGGCAGAGGGTAGCAAAGAGAGCCAACACTCCACAGTGCTCCTGTGTTCTTTCAGACAGGCATTTGACTGAAGGATGTTTAAAAATAATTGCATATCCCCTACTCTATCTTTAAATATTCAGAGAAAAAGTCACCGAAGAACCGATAATGTGACAATAATAATGAGGCTGAAGAACAGCACTGTAGCGTGAACTCATATATCCCTTGGTTTCATTTACATGTGTAGCAGCTGCTTGTTTCTCCACCACAGAAAGATCATTACCTGGCTTGTAAGGAGAGAGGGGAAGTCTGTTCACCTTTGGGCAGCTAGCTCTGCATCTATGAATAGTTCTTCCTCATCCCATTACACATGTAATTGCTGCATTATAATTTATTTATTCATTGATTTAATGTAATAGATGAGTAGAAAGAAAATTACTTTTGCAAATAAATTTGATAGGTGGGAAAGCTGCATGGTTTAAAGGAAAAAAAAACCAACAAGAATACAAAACATGCAGTGTGGGATGTGAGGTGGATGGCATCATGATGTGTGAGCACTGGCATGCAGTCCAGGCTCATTAGAAAATGAAGGTGAATCCAGCCAACTTCCGTGCTGGTGCAAAAAGGAAATGACTGTGGAACTCATATGCAATCTTTATTTACATTCTCAGGTATGTGATTTCTTCATGGAATGGGGAGCCAGCTGAAAATGAGTGATAAATAGGATGAGAAAAGAACTCTAACATCAGAAACATAAAGGTAGGAAGTTTGCAAACCATCTGGGGAAGCTGGGGCTGCCTTTCTGTTAGCGGTGGTTTTCCCATTTACAACAAGTGAATTTGCATCACTCCTGCCTTCAGGCTCTGACTGCCTTGCCTGGCGGGGTTGGGCTGCACCAGAGGTCATCACAAAATATTTCTTAGTCCTGTGCTCCAGGTGAGACACTGAGCATCACCGTCCCCGTGAGCAGGACAGGAGTGTTATGGGCGGGAGGCACAGCCCCACCAGCTCTGTGTCCATCACAGGAATGGCAGTGCTGTGGCCTCACCCACTGGCACAGCATTGAATTGGGAAAGGGAGGAATGGGGGGAGGTGCTGTGGTTTGCAGCTATCAGGTAAGACAGCATCAACAATACCGAATAAATAAATGAGGCCATGGAAATTCATGAATAGAGGGAGATAGAAAATACATCCATGAATTTTTTTTTCTGTTTTCAGTGTCCATTGAGAACAGTTGCATGCACGCACTAGGTTTTGTTACATTTGTAAAAACGTGTAAATACCTGTATCTGCTATCAAACTACTGCATCCACATGGAAACCAGATGCAGAATTTGAATATTCAGACCAGAAAGAGGACTTCCCTCTGCCTCCCCACCCATAACCTGTTTGTGAATGTTCTAACTGTGCTGTTAGCTCAGTTATAAACTGCATCAACCGTACCTGCAGCACTGCTGTGTGCTGAGGTGTGTATGGACTGAGCCAGCCGGCTCACTCTCCAAGCAGGTGAGGGTGAGGACTGTGAATCACCTCGTGCTTTTCTCTTTCTCTCACGTTGGTTTTTGCATGCCTGTTTGTGTTTGAAAGCTACTGCTGCTTTCACACTGTTTACCATCTTCGTTTGCTTCTAGTGAGCGATCTTAATGCCTCAGAATTCCTTAGGCAATTTGCATCTCCCCGTAGCACCCGCTTTAGTCCCTCAGGCAGCAGCTCGACATGGACCCCGTTTGCCATCACCTGCGTTGCGCCCCGGAAAGAGCTGCTGCGGTGCCCGTGCGAATGGCATTGCGGTACCTGCGGACGCACTGAGCACAAATCCTCATCCTGCTAACCCGGGAGCAGAGCAGTCCAGCCGGCACAGGCAGCGCCCTCTGGTGGCGGAACACGCGAAGCGCAGCCGCAGCTCCGGCCCAGCGTCAGCTGCATGCAGCTCGCTGCGGGCAGCAGGTGAGCAGCTGGGGGCCTTTCCCGCAGTGAGGCACAGAAGGGCTGTGCTTTAACTTTGAATAAGTTCAGTACTCATTTTATTTCAAAGAAAAAAGCTCGCTTTTACGAGTGGAGGAAAGCTCTTTTCACTACAGAAATACGAAATGAATTTTCTTAAGATATATTTTACAGATATTCTTACAAGTATGTCAGTATCTGTAATAAGGATGTAAAAAAATCTTTGTTGTGAATTTAAAAAAGGGAAACCTTAAGATACTGGCTGCCAGAGTTTTCAGAGAGAAATAACATTCCAAGGTGTACTTGCAGAGCCCATGTGGCAGCAAGGGAAGCAGTGCTGAAGCTACAGCATGACCCAGCAGTTACTTGTCTAAGAAATGTCTAAGAAATCTTTTTCAACACTGCATTCTCCTCCTTTGACACTCCAAAACTCAAAGCCCCCTCCCCCCCCCCCCCCCCCCCCCCCCCGAAGAAGTACAGAGAGCAATAAGAATAATACTTTTAATTAATACAGAAAGAACACATGGTACATTGCAGCAGCAGCTAATTGCTTTCTACCATTGGGGAAGAAAAGTTAAGGCTAGTTCAGGGCAACCTGATACAATGGTTTGTTTCCCTACCCCATTCTGCAGACAGCATTTGAAAGTTTAAGGAGATGATCTGTGCACAAAACATGAGATGTTTATTTAGCAAAACATCAAGAACAGAGAAAACATGCTTTGTTACAGTGGTAAAAATACACAAAGCTTTCAAGCTGCTTTTTACACCATCTCAGGTCTGAAACACCAAGTTGCAATCTGCAGCCAATTGTGCTCCAGCTTTGTGTGACACAGGCTGGCAGTAGGGACCGTGGTGACCAAGTTTATCTATTCAGTGGAGCATAAAGTGCACAAGAAAAATAAGTGCATTGAAATGAACCAACCATTTGTAGGAGTAACTCCTGTCACACACTACACTTGCTTAAAGTAGCCACTGCTGAAGCTATTCAGTAAAACACAGTACTACACTTTCAACATATGTTCAGGATAAAGATGAAGATAATTTTGCAGCTTTTGCTCCAGTTACCAAAATACACCAGTGTTCTGCTGCAGCCTACAGTGCTTTGGGGATTTCTATTGGTGAGCACTAAGTATTGCAGTCCTTTCTTTTTTCTCTCAACTTTGTTTGCAGGCCATTAGGAACTGTACCTTGTATGTGCATTCTTACTCATACCTTAAGACCACATTAGCAAGATGTGAGAGGTGAACCATGAAGCAATCATCTCATTTAACAAGTGCTATTAATTTAGGGGTGCATCTGCATTTTCAAAAGAAATAGGAAAAAAAAAAAATACCTGGGACATTCCCAAATGCATTATATATATATATCAATGGTGAGTGCTCAGTCACTGGAACTTTCGTGCACTGCCTTTACCAGAAGGGCAGGTATTAAATGCGGGCTCTCCTCAAATTAGCTTATTCAATCCCCTTTGGCACATCCTGAATTCTCTAACTTATTTTACACATTTCTTTTTAGAGTGAAAGACGTTTGCTTTGTAATCCTTCCTGAAATAGAAAACCCAGGTTAGGTTCCATGACATCTCATTTACATTGCTAGATTACCACAGAGCAGTCAGATGAGAAAAACTGCAGCCAGGAAGCCAAGCAGTTCATTTATTCACACCCATCTACTTTAATTCAGTCCTGTTTGTTATTAATATATGTTTTCTTTTTTCTTTTTTTTTTTTTTCTTTTTTGGGGGAGGAGGGGGTGGAAATCATACTTTGTGCTCCCACTGTGTAAGTAAGTGGCATTATAAAGTAAATACCAGCCTAGTCATTTTTACCTTATAGTCCCTACCCACTGCTTCTATGGCATCTTTGTCAACATATCTGAGCACCTGCAGCTGCTTTCCCAGAGCCAAGGAAGAACCACTGCCAACAACAGCCCTCTGCTGACAGATGTTTACCAAATCCAACAGGTAAATAAAGCCTTACAGGAATTCTTTGGGAGAAAAGGAGTTTAAGAACTCAGTACTGCAACTAGAGAATCAGCATTTTGCCAGGAGCACAGATGAGATAAATAAGGCAAGGGTCCTTGGAAGCCAGGAGATTATTAGAGGCAAAAGCAGCAGTGACACCAAAAAGTTCTTTGTTCTTGAGAGTGAAAACTCAGACCACACTTCATGCAGCTGCCCAGGGAACAGATCAGTGCTCTCAGCCCCCCTTTGTTTTCCTTAGAGCTGACAGAGTAGTCCTTTGAGCACTTCCCTACCTTGCTCTAGCAGAACCCAGTGGTAGAGCATGTCCCACAGGGAGAGTTTTGTTTTCTTCAAGAAGCATAAAGTAACATTTACAACACAGGATCACTCCCCATCCTCTTTAAAACAGTGGATAAAGCAGCTTTTCCTGTTGCATTTTCTATATGGACTTGATCCCAAGGAGGAAGTTTTCCATATAAAACATCTCTAGTTGAAAATGTACAGCTCATACATATATGCAATTTGTAACTAACTCCTTTGTACAACCAGATTTCACTGTGTACACACATTATATATAGCACTTAGCTACAGAAGTAGCTAAAAAGCAACAACACAAAAATTCATGGCAAACAGGAACCAACAGACTTTCAAGTGCATTTTACACAATGCAGATTTTGTAGCTTTTCAAATTAGTTTTCATTAAGTACTAGGTAAAACTGTAAAACTCTGATCCTGTACTTCTGGTTTCATTTTTCCCAGCAGATATTTTTAATATTCATTAGTAATCCTGATATCAAGAGTCAGATGTGTAATGTATTCCTAGGTAGTAGCTTAATGTATTGTATAAAAGTCAGTTTTGTTTCACCAAGAACTAAACTCCGTTTCAATACCATTCCCTGAGGCAACCCTTACTTTATTTTGTCCTCCAATCATCTGTATATAGTTGATGATCTGTTCCAGTCTGCTTTCTTTACACATCAGTTAAGATACATACCCTTGCACTGCTAATTTTAAGCAGTTATCCTTCCTCTTACTGCTCTCTTCTTCTCTCCAACAATCCCGACTTCCCAAACAACAAGTCAGTGTGCTTGACTTCCACAGGACAGGAACTGAGATGTTTAAGTAATGGACATGAATTTCTGAAGATGTAAATGTATGACAGCGGACAGCTAACAGGACAGAATTAAAATGCAATGAACAGTTTAACATTTATCTTATTAAAACTGAAGTTATTCTCTTGAAGAATTAATGGTGCTAAAAAGGCAGTGCTGAGGGGGAGAGAAACAAGAATTATCATCCTTGGTCCATAGAAACTCACCCGAGCAGTAACACCACATCTTTACATTCTCAATGGACTAAGGAGGTTTCTCCTGAGAATAACTCCACTTTTTTCTTTTTTTTTTTTAATGTCCATATATAATGAATGCACTTAAAGCTTTAAGTTTTAGTAACTTCATTTAGACTTTGTTTGTAAAACAAACACACACAAGCACACTTCCTAGAGTGCAAAATGCTTAAATACTTCCACCTCAGAACTCCACAAGTAGTTTTTGGAACAGTGATCCTTTTGTTCTCAGTCAACTTCTTCCTTGTCATCGCATCCATCGCCAGCAACGGTTGCATCAAAACGAACAAAAAATGCAGAGAACGCAACAGTAGAAATCTGTCATTTCTTCAGCTTCCCAGAGGGAGTTGTTCATTTGTACAAACTCATGGTTGGACTTTGATACATGCACATGTAAGCATCACAGAGCAGTCTTCGTGCACAACCTTGAATTTTTCTGGAATCCAGTGAGTGCAGTTCTTCTACAGACATCTTCAGGTATTCGCCAACTTCTGGGCATGGGGTGACTTGTGGAATGTTAAAGCCATTCTGACCTCCTTTTATGCATGAGGAAAGAGACAGATGAGGATTAGGATTCCATCTACATACATTTACCCTTTATAATATGCTTCAGTTACAGCAGCATCGCTAATTCTTGAAAATGCCTTCAGAAAAAATGTAACTGCTATTTTGGACTACTTCAGGCTTCACAAGGAGGTATGAGAAGCATATTCGCTCCAGAGAAAATACAGAATAGCTTCTGGCATTAGAATTAGCCTTTAAAGAAAATCAGTGCACAATTTGTTCTGCACAGAGATGTCAAAGTGTAATGAAAAATATAGTATCAACCACAACTACCTGCTTTTCTGATGGAACATTCATGCATCTGTAATATTTATCTGCATAAGAAAAAAAATGGTGAGGTATTTATCATCTCATTTGGAAAATTTGATCTGGAAGCTCCACGAAGAAAAACCCACGCAAGCACCACGACAGAACCATGGCACAGAAAGGGCTGTCAGGATCTCTACACTGACAGTACAAATTCCATACAGCTTTGGGAGAGTTGCCTGAACACACATTCCACCTTGCACGCTACTGAATTTGTTAATAAAGTGCTATCAAGTAACAGTAAGATGTATGGACATCCATGGCACTGTTCCCTAGCAGACACTTTTTAGCTTAAACTCCAGCTGAAGACAATTATTTGTGATAAAAAAAGCTAAGCTCAGCAGGATCTCATGATACTACATTCCTGGAATACAGTGGTTCTTAACAGACTTAAGTCATACACATTTCAAGCCCTTCAATACAAAGCTTTATTGCTATGTGGGTGATAGGATGATCTTAGTCCTACAGCAATTTCACTTTTGGCAGGAGGCAACACTTCTCCCAGTCTCCCCCAAAATAAAAATAATTTCTGAAAAAAAGCACCAGAGCATAGAGGGACTCAAGAATTCTGCAGGCAAAGAACTGTTGCATTCAGTCCAACACTTGTATCTATTGCTGCTTTTCACAGGCATCAGAATTCAACACAGTCCTTGTTACTATTTAATGCAGCAATGTCTAAAAGAATATTTATTTTCCTGACATTTGTGTTTCCCACTGCTAACTCTAAAGAGATTCAAAGGAGTAGCACAGATTGCACTGCATTACTCGGTGAAGTTGTATTAGAAATAACAAATTCATTTAAGCAAAAGCAAT